CATGATCCAATACCTACAGCTTCCCTCTGGATGAGGCCTTTGGGATGTTTCAAGTTTTGGGACTGAGGCGTAGGACTTATTGTCGAACAGGGCATGGCTAAAGGATGCTAAAGGTTTAGGAATATGTAGACACCTGGAAGTGCAGTTTTTGTGGTCCATGGTGGATGCAGGGTTTGGGGTCTTGAGGCTTGAGGGTGTAAGGGGTTCCGGGGTTTCATTTTGTACGAGCCTCTTGCCAATCCAAAACAAGAAACACAAGCGATGCAGAAAAAATACTTGCAAAGCTAAACACGCATGCGGGTACGTATCCCTGGTCAACTTCATCTGGCTGATACTGCTGACTGAGAGAGGAGGCTGATCGTCCCAACTCATTTCATGGCAGCTGCACGAAAGACAGCCAGAACTTTGCAGTCGGGCCTCGGACGGTTGCCACTGAAAATATCTGAGCCAACCCTCTCAATGACGCCCACACCTCCGGCAGTTTGGAGGTGCAAAGCGAGACTGGAACAAAGCCAGTTCCTCGTGCTCTAATCAACCTGCTTAGCCACAGCCTTCATGGCCTAAGACTAAAGGCATTGGTTCCTGTCGCTTGCCGCTGACCTCACAGCGAATCAACTTGTGAACCACCAAGGCCGCAAGAAACTTCCAAGGATTGTGCAGTGTGCAGATCGCTACCACAAATTGTTGCAACCTGAGCACGTTCAAGGCAGTCTGCCTGAGCAGTTACACAACTTCCTACACGTAGCCGCCCTGTGGCCTCCATGCGAACCAGAAGCTCACCCTCATTCAACTTCTCAGGGAGAGGGATCTGCACGTCAAAGCCAAGATCGCCCCTTCCCCCCCGCTTCCGAAAGGCTTGCCTCCTGAAGCTCCATTGGTTTGCCAACTTCATGAAAAACGGCAGCTACAGCTTTGGCTGCGCGTCCTTGGCAAGAAGGCATGGAGCAAAGTCTACAGAGCTGCCAGATATCGCAACCAGCTGGCTCTGGCTGCCAAGCAAAACTGTGCCTGGCAGGCAAAGCAGGCAATCAACAACTGCCTAGATGCTCCAAAGCCGCCTCGCCGCCAAACATGTCTTTGCATGCTCTGTGATGCTGGGCCGCTGCGCGCCTGAGAAACAAAGCATACAGGGCAGGAAACACGAGTCGGAGCTTCAGAACTTCGGAACACGAAGCACCAGAAGCACCAGGCACAAGACGCCGCAGCGGAGCCGAGGAGGCGGAGAGCGTTAACATTTTGGGATCGAGCAGCTTGAAGTTTGCAAGCAGGAACGTCTTGGAGGAGAATGCACTTCCTGTCAACTTGCAAGGGGCTCTCCCTCTGGACTCTGGGCTGTTTTTCTCCGCCACCTTTCTGGAGCACCTTGCAGTGATCTCCATGAGCGAAAGTGAAACAAACAGCAGCCCGCGTCTGCCAAACAAATGTACTGCTTTTGAAGCCAACTATGCACTTGCAACCTAGCCTGTAAAATGATTGGTGACTTGGAGGGAAATGATTTGATGGCACTTTGCGCTAGCAGCTGTTGTTGACATTTACACTTCCAACCGAACTTATGCTGGTTGCGGGTGAAACCTTGTGTTTTAAGCCGGTGCTGCTTCCTGAGAGCGCCAAACACCAGCAGCAGCACGAGAGTCATGGAAACACGAAGGATTGGAGGTCCGCCCAGAGTACAGCCCGCCTCGTCGGGGGCTGGCGGAGCTTCAGGCACCAAGGACTGGAGCTCTTGAAGGGCAGCAGCCTCCAGCCAAGCCAAAGTCTTCACGCTAAGAAAGGACCCCTCCAAGCCTGTGAAGATGTCGACAAATGCCAGCTGGAACCTACCGAGACTCGTAACACTTTCTACGTTTGCATTCTGTTCAGCTTGGTCTACACCGGATTGAAGCCCCAGGCACCTGTACCTGGAAAGAGCATCTCAAGACCACGCCGCCGGCAAAGCAGCCCACCATGGCTGCAGAATGAAGAAAGTACCTCGATGCATCAGACCAAAAACTGAGACATTCAAGCTTCCAAAGTCTTGTTGCTGGTTCCAGGCCCCGACTGTCTTGCGCTGTAGAAGTATCTTCTCCGAAAAAGCCTCAGGCCAGCTACCAGAGCAACTGCAAAATGGAAATCTGAAAGCTGGGGCAACGGCAACGGTTGCTTCATCAGGGGGAGGTGGTGGCTCAGCCTCTTCCTCTACAAATATGTGCTCTGCATGCAACCACAACACGTTTGGTCATGAGTCAGGGTGGACAAGAGCGTCAGCTCTCATAGCCTCAACCTCTTGCTTGGCTTTTCCCTTGCAGTCCAGAGAGCAGCAACATCCTCTGGGCAAGCAGATCCCGGATGCACCTTGGGCTTTGGAGCCGCCTTCCCTTTCGGCATGGCAGCCGCTTCCGCTGCCTTTGCCTGAAACAATCGTGGCAAAGGTGAGCCGCGACTGCTATGACTGCCACAGCTTCCTTCCTCATCCAACAGATTGCCACAGAACGTCGCCAAATCTGGAACAACTGCCTCGAACCAGAAAGGCAAGGCCCACAAATTTAGTCACGCGTGAGGAAAGAACGATGAGCGAGGGCGGTCGGCTGCGCTGACTGAAAAGAATGGTCCACAAGTCCTTGTGAAAAGCAGAGATATCTTGGGGAAACAGAGACTGTCTAGTAAATTCTTTGCGTCACTGTGCGCCCTGAAGCTCCGAGCGTCCTTCACCAAGACCTGCGCAGGCTCCTCTTCAGAAGCTGCCAGCACGTCACGGGGCAGCAGCAGCCTGAGAACAGCTGACAGATCAAGTCTGAATCCTCCAGCTTACCTGAATGTCACAGTGCACGTGTGTGGCCAACTCTTTGCTGCTTGAGCACTCTCCCTCCAAGCACATGGGAGTTGTCACTAGTTGTTGTCACTACAATCTAAGCATCTCCCCCGCCCTCCTCCTCGTCTGCCTCCTTTTTGCTATTTGCCTGTTGTTCAAAGCCTCCTGGTGAGCTACCAGCAAGACAGTGATGAAGCAGCAACGTGTTGTAGCTGTTAGGAGGATACACACTTGTCATCAGAGGCTATGTATCAAGCATTCTACATGTAAAATCCTGCAGGAACTTCTGAAGGGCGCATGAAGTAAACAGCCAAGATGAAATCTGCTTGGCATGACGCTGCCGACCCAGGAACGATGCACAGACACTCCGATGACCGAGATCATTGCTGCAGCATCCACTGCAGCCCCCAAGGTAAGAGAAATGGATACAATGCTCGTAGAATCGTGTCCTGATCAAGGACACCTGATAAAGGGCGTCATTCGCGCCTGCAGAGCCTGCTGAAGCTTTTTGCAGGGCTGTAGCCCATGCCAAAGTAGCTGAAGATCCTGGGGCTAGCTAGCCAGGCATGGCAAGCACAGCTGAGGCTCACGCTGGACAATATGCTCATGGCAATGACACGGTCCTAACTAAGTCAACCTGACGAGATCAGGTCGCGCCTTCTAGCAGAGACTGTGCACTCGCTCGCATCTTCTGTCCGACCTGCAGACACACCGGAAGCAGATCTCTGCCAAGCCAAACCACTGCTCAGACCCTGACGCGAAGGCTTGGGGGGCAATTGCACGTTCGCCTGAGAGTCTCATCACCAATTCCCTCTACATCGGTGCCTCCATGCAAGAATCATTGCCTCATCTGCAAAAGTTGCCAACACCTTTGCTGCGGATGCTTCAGGTGCAAGTGAGCATTCACCCAAGTACGCACAACCAATTGGCCTGGAAAAGCCATCGCCGAAGCTCGGTCTGACAAGTTTCCGGCCTCGAGGAATGCAGCACGAAGCAAGGCCCTTACATCGCTCCGCAGGCTGGCAAGATCGGATGGGACGCAAACCAGAGCGGCAGTTGGCAAAACAGTTCCTGCATTCAGTTGCTGTCTCTTGACAGCTGCATGTCTGCAGGTCTGCAGGCTTGTGCCTCAGAAACCGGAACGTCGGGGTACCTGTCCCAACAAGCAGCACTTCGCTGCACGCAACGTAGAAGTCAGAGGCTGGTACATGGCTAGCACATCTGGATCCAGCTGAGACTCCTGCACCCACACTCCGTGACAGACTTACTGTGATGCAGAAGCGAAAAATCCGCCTGGCCTCAGACTGGATCAGGGACCGTGCCTCTTCCAAAGCCTATCAAGACCAGTTCATGCGCAACAGCTCTGCTCACGCTGAGCATCGCTGAGCCGTTTCATAACAGCTTTCTGAGGCCTCCAGGGAGGGCCAGGGAACAGAATTCTCATGATGCGACAGGACCTGTGCGATACGTCCTTTGACTGTGGCTCAGCAGTTTGTCGGGGTGCCAGAAGCACTCCCCTCCAGGGACCCGATTTTGCGTTGCGCTCTACAGCTCTGTACTGTAGTACAGCGACAGCCTTTTGTGCCGACAGCCTCTTGTGCGTGACACTGGAGTTTGCAGGTTGCCGCCTGTACATGCAACCAAAACAGCTCTGTTTAACGTAGTGGGGCTTAGTTAACCTCAGTGCAATCTGTCCCGTACACAGAGCTGTTTACTGCAAAGGGCTCTGTTTAAGAGTGAGCCAGTAAGCCATTCCAAGTCAAGGGCCTACAGGCGCAGTGATCAGAACAAAGCCACGGGGTACATCTTCTTTGGCACAAGTAAGAGCGCGAGCGAAGGGCAGGCCACGAGAGCATGGCATATGTCATGCAGGTCCGCTGATGGACTCAAGAAGCCCAGGAGCAGAACACCTGCGAGGGAACATTTCCGTGTCTTTGAGCAATGTCAATCTGAACAGCATGCAGCTTTAGTGGTCAGCAAAGCAATCCACCGTATGAACTACAGCCTCTTCATGGCGGTTCAAATCAAATTCAATCACAAAAGTGTTGAGATGGTCCCAATGCCGTGCGCTGTCAGCTGCACACACTTAAGCAGGCATCGCAAGACCAAAAAAACAGAAGAGGACAGTCACTAGTATCTCTCGATGCCTGTGAGCCCCAAAACCTTCGCCAAAATCCCGAAAAGGACATACACAGGTAGCACACCTCGTAGATCATTGATCCTATCCATGGCTCAGCTTATCTGCAACAGGAAGCCGCAGGGGTTGCGGGTGTGCCTGCCTGCTCTCGTCACCGCGGGACCTCGAAGACTTTGCCAACCTTATCTATGCTCAATAAAGGCTCAAGCAGAAGGGTTGTGGAAGGCTCCAGCGTCCTCTTGTACCAGCCTGCAAAGCATTTAGTTTCTGCAGGCTGGCGCAACGAGCAGCACAAACAACAGTGTCCAGTCAACCTCAAGCATAAATCAGGCCGGCGGCACAAGGCTGGCAAATTAGGGTCTCTGGTCCACCCCAGTTGGAGCAGACGCAGCAAGATGATCACCGCGGCAGCTATGACGAAAGGTACAGCCTCATCTGCGCCACGGGCCAATGCTACCCACATTCTGCGGAAGACTTGCAAGTGCCGGACACGAAACAGAACAGCGCTACGCCTCACCGTGGAGATATCTCGTCACTGCATGCTAGGCAAGATGATGTCTCAGGGCCCGCACACAACAGGCTTCAGTGCCTTGCAGGCCACAAGCAGCGACCTGGCTCGGTTTAGGGTACAAATGCAGATCGTGGGCTGGATGGCAACAAAGGCGACGCACCCGGATAAGGACGGTCTCCGATCACCTGGCTTTAAGGGCGAAAGTTAAGCAGCTTGCACGGCCAAGAGCGCGCGCACCAGCAGAGTCATCACCAGGCTCAGGCATGGGGAACATGCGAGACCTCAGCAAACGAGCATCACACCTACTCTGAATGTTGGCAAGAGGCCAGTGCACAGGTGCCGAGACAGCTGGTGGGGTCATCACCTGCGCACCTCGCCTCAACATGCCAAGCAGGCCAAGCATCACACCTGCAAACAAGCCTCCTGCACATGGCTTCTGCCAGCCTGACACCGGTCGAACGCCAGGAGGCTGAGCCTTCAGATATCCAAGACTTTCGAGACTGCCACTCTCACTCGGCTCGCACCACTGGTGCATGCTGTCACAAGCCGATATGATCAGTACCGGCCTGCTGTATTCCTTGCCTGCAGCACGGAAAGGGAAAGGAATAAAGCTGCTGTGAGGAACACACCGCACGCAAACGGCACGCAGACAGTCAAGCCTATGAAACAATAAGCTGAAGACATCGCCTTGCCTTTTCAAAAGTGAAAGCTTTTGGATCTGTCGGCATGCCCGATGAGTCTACTCCCATCTGCCTGTCACCAAGCCACGGCAGCTTCCAGACCGGAGAGGTACTGCTGACATTTTGAAGTACAAGCCGGGATTGCGCCATGCGTTGAGCCAGTATCTTAAGACGAGCCTGGCACAGCTTAATTGCAACCATCAGTAATGATTTCCATCGTCAGCCTCATCAAACGTGAGCCCGTCTTTCATGAGCTGGGAGGCCTCCGCCATGCCTGAAAACAATGTAATTAAAAGCTGAACTGAATCCCTCAATTGCCATGGCTCAGATATGGCTAATATAGTAAGAACTCCTCTTTGTAAGGTATACGGGCCCCTGGCCTCGTGTGAGTCGTTGCTGGTCCTCCTCGCTGAGACCGGCCTCGAGCTCGAAGGTCGCGCTGTGAAAGTCCGCTGAGTCCTAGGGGCTCTTTGCTTAGTACCCACCCTCCTTTAGTCGAAGCGCCCGTTTAAGTACGTCCTCCAAGCAAATCTCTTTGGGCAGCTGCTGCGCCATTGCAGAGACAATCGGACAGGGCCTAGTCCTAACTTGTGGGCTGCCATTCTGGAGTTGATGCTTGCCGTTTCTATCAGCTTCCTCTTGAGTTTCTTGTCTAGCTACTATCATTGACCTGCTGTTGCATCATAGGCACGGCGGCAGAAGCTTCACCCTAACGATGCAAAGCTGGCACGAAAGCCGTGGTCGAAAAATTCTTCGTGTCATCTTATCGACAGACAAACCTGCATGTGGCCAGAGTCCCAGAAGCTCGGTGTTGTTGCTGCAGCTAGGCTGAAAATCATGCAGCCCATAACTCCCATCAAAGCTGCGGCCCTCTGCTAGGTCGCTATGCAGCTTTGAAGGCAGATGATCTTTCAGCTCCTGGAATGGCTTCTGAGAGCTAGTTGTTAACCATATACCAGACAAGGTACGTAGACCCATATACCCCAGAATGCTATCATTCGAACTGCGTACACAAGGTCACAGGAATTCAGGCTGGACCAGCTTGCGTTTGGCATTTGCCCCCAGCAAGCGCGTTTGCACTTTGGGTTTTGCTAATTATCGACGTTCATGGATGTCGAGTATCCCCAATTTGCTCGTTCAAACTTTTTGGAGTTGGGCAATCTTCCGCCTGAAGGATTGCCTGCAGGGACTTCTGGCAACGCAGTCGACGTTTGGCAACGGCAATGCTGCAATGACATTTGACAGCAAACTTCAGGATACTGGGACTGCTGCCAGGAGGAACTCGGTCACGTCCACCCCGGTTGAACCCCATGCCTTTGCTTACAGAGGAGGGCATGCACGAAAAGAAAAGATCAGCTGGACGAGGGATAGACGGGCATCACCATTGAGTCGCACAGCAACTTGTAGACGACCTCAGATAATTGGCATATGCATATTGGAGTAGTGTTAGCTACGTAGTAGTTCCTGAATATGAAGAGATGTCTCGGCGGTGCACAAAACAACAAGAAATTTACTCACCGCTGCAAGATGGCCAGCAGGTCTTTTTCCAGGACATGCTCCGCATGGTCCGCAGCTCTCTCTGCTCCGCATCTGGACCCTAGGAAATACCAGTAACATCGCTTTGAGGGAGCTGCTCAACTATTCAATGCACAGCCCACAATGGCAGAACAGACCTACACAAGCAGTTTTGGCTGCTACATGCGACATTTCGCTACTTGGGAACTTTACCTTCGCTTGTCTCGTCATGTAGGGAAATGTAAGTTGAGGCTCTGCCCAGCCGCCTTGGCACTCTTCGCGCACAGGAGGCCGAACATGCGGCTTCCGCGTTCACCATGCAATGATCCAGAGGTCATTAGACTCAATAGATGCCCAGTCTTCTTGTCCGTTAGCGATACGCACCATCCAGTAGAAGCCTTCTTCACCCAGCCACTGACTACAGGAGGAATGCACTTTCGCTTCAAAGTAACAGGCCAAAGCACATTGCTCCTGTACGCAACTGGCCAGGCCCAGGGGTACAAGACAAACCCCAGGTTGACATCAGCTCTGGAGCCGAAAATTGCAAGCTGAAACTGCTGGCAGATGCTGCAGACTTCATCATGTGCATGCCCTTTCAGGCACGCACCAAAGGTCTCATGACCCACGACTCCGGTATCACCTCGCGTCAGGAAAAGAGTAAAATAAGCACAGAAACGGCCTAACCTCTTCTATCCATCCGCGCTCCGTCGGTCCGCGCATCACCACACCTGCTCGTTGTCGAAGCCGAGGGCACCATGGCGACGCTCCAGGAGGGCCTGTCTCGAAAATGAGCTGAAACTTTGTAGAATGTTCTAGCTACCTGGTCAAAAGGGCCCACCTGGAGCAGCTGCTCCGAAGAACAAACGCTGCCACTCAAGTCCGCCAGTCTTGTTAAGAGTCCCCAAATCATGTCCTCAGCCGGCTTCAACCACTTCCGATGCTGCTTGTCTGCAGATGTGGCGAGCAGTCCACACTGTCCTGTGACCACTTCTCCGGCAAGACCTCTGCTGGCTTCTCGCGTGATTTCAGAATCACAACCCCCACATGAAGGCACGTGCAAGCACAGTATCCCACTTCATCAGGGCAGCACATTTGATAGAACTGGGCTTCACGCAAAGGGGCTTTTCATTGTAGTTGAAGGCCGGGATCCAACACCTGCAACAATCCATTCAGAAAGCTTATGCAAATGCAAGCAGTGTAGGTGGATCCTTGTGAGTTGGATGTGGGTGGTCTCGTGGAAGCCATTCCCTTCGACCCAACCTGCAACAGATGTATTGAGGCTGATACACCTTCTGGACCTGCTGTGGGCATGACCTCAAGCTTTGGAGGTACATAGACGTCCACGTCCAAAGTCCGTGCGATAATAACCTGTCGCAAGTGAGTCGGTCTACTTGAGCAGTACAGTACAGTATCAGACCAAAGCTTACATGCCCACCTTGAGGACATCTCGACGTCGTTTTCCAGCTGCCCCAGTCAGCGCGGGCTCAGCAGGGGGCACAGCGGTGAGAGCATCTGGGTGTTCTCGAAAAGGGACACGGAGAGAGATAGGAATCATGTAAGGAGTACAGATTTCCGGCTTGGGGATTCCGTAGGGATTATGTCGAGAAACGCTTTTAAAAAAATCTGCGAGAAGAACAAGAAATGCGCCTTCATTGTGGTTGTCTGGGACCTTCGCATGCTTCTGGTGGTTGTGAATGCTTGCTCCTGCCATGCTCAAATCATGCGGCACACTGTGTCACACCACGCCACAACTCTCGCGGCATAAGAGACTTCATGTAGCCTCATCCTCCCATCTTCCTGTTCGAAGAAGAGCTTCCGTGGCCTCCAGACGCATCTTGCTTCCAACGGGAAAACATTGGACATATCGAGCAAGCAAGCACGGCCTTGATTGCTTCGTTTTCTTCTTTGACGCGGTCCTTGATCCAGTCGTCCATCCGAGAGAATATCTGGCAGCAGTGATGGCAGGACAGCCACAATCCAAGAACATCTTTGGGCCTCTTCGTACTGCTGGTGCATGGTTTCCAGGCGAGCATACGTCCAGGCCTGAATTTGGATGCCAGGCAGACATGCACACTGCCACACACAGCTGCATACTCTCACCAGGCGGCCGGCGGCTATGCACCGACACCGGCAGATGAGGCCGTATCGCTCGGCTGGCACATGCAAGCAAGGAACTCAGGAGTGCGCATGTCACTGTTTAGCAATGTGGGCAGTCAGCTCCGTATGTCAGCAGTTAGCCGTGCACCGCAAGGCAAGGGCCGTCCCGGTGTTTGATGAAGCACGCCCCGGAGTCCCTTGTTTGTCACTGGAGCAAGCATCATGGCCAAGAAGCCATTGGTACATGGCAAGGAGCCATCTGCATGTACATCGCATGTAGAAGGCTTCGTCTGCTCGCAAGACATTACGTGCTAGGGACGGCGAAGCTCCTCCGCGAGCAGCGATGCCGGCGAGAGAGGCGACGGCGACGGTGCTGCGGACTTCGTCTTCACGAGACCCATGCCGGCGTCACGGCAAGGATAGCCGGGGCAAGGCCGGCAAGGCCGGCAAGGCTCCAGGGCTGAAAGGGTCTGGAGGTGCTGCGATGTTCTGCAGTTTGTGCTGCGGCTGGGTGCTCGCCTCTGGGCTCGCCAGGGTCCAGCTGCGTGCAGCCACCGACTCTAGGCTCATGTCTTGCATGCGTCTAAGGTGAAGTGTTAGGTCAGTGCCTACATATCTACTAAACCATAGGCCCAGAGAAGTGGTGCCGCAGAGCACTTGAAAGCACTGGACACCTTTCCTCTTTTGTTATCGGAGCCGCTTACATTTCTGTGGCAGGCCTCGCAGAGCTGCAAGTAGCTCTGAATTCTCGCTGTTGGACTCCGCAGGCAGGCTGGCTGATGCCTGGAGCACGAGATGACGCACAGCATTCATCACCTTTGGTACATCCACCGCCGACTCGCCTCGAGCAACGAGCTGTCCTGGAGCAATGCCAACACTTTTTCCCAAAAAACTCTCTGGCGTTGGGTTCTTCTTTGGATTTCCCAACGGGCGGGCAGTGATTATCGGAGTGGCATGCAGTGCGGCGCGGCGGGTAAAGGCCTCCGAGTCTTCGGCGTCCGGGGAAGTTGGTCACCGAGGGTGTGGCGGTTGCGGATGGTGGTCGCGTGCGGCATGTGCTGCGGTGCGCCGCGAGTTCGGGGTGCGGCGCGGTGCTGCGCACGTCTACGGCTATGCGAGGTTTGCCAGGATGGGGTGGAGCAGCGGTATATTCACAAGGACGGGGTGGTCATGCAGAACGGTCGGGTGCACGCGGTGCTTCGGGATGGCGGTCGCAAGGACATCGCGGCGCGGGTGAGGGCTGGCATTGCAGGCGACTGGGCTAGAGAAGGTGATCATGGGGACAGGATGCTGGCGCTTACCTTCAGGGGAAGAGGACCGCCGGGCGGTCTTCCTCCTCTCAGTATGCAATGCGAACAAAAAGATAAGATTGTGCTCTTGCATGCTCTTGCAGAAGGCTTTTGGGTTTTCAGGTTGACCTTGTGTTAAAGCTTCTGGGAAAAGACGCCCAAGGTCCTCATCTTCCGGTAAAGATGCCGCTAGAGGCATGTCGGTGTCAAGTTGGACCACCTCCTCTTCGACCCCCAGCGGCTCAGCACAGCCAAATCCTGGCATGTTGCAAGTTGCAAGCAGGCGATTCTCACGCAAGAAGTCCCCATCATCTCAAGCCGGCTACACGTTCTGCAGATTCATCAAGCCAGGTTGCAAGTTCCTGGTGCGATGGTTCGTTGTTAAGGCTTTTAATTTCTACGGCGGGATCTTGCCACTTGCCTGTAGGGAGGACAGATCAACAGGCGGAGGTTCCATTGCGGACGTGTCAAAGCAGTTCAGATCCTTGCGCCGGCAAATGACTCAGCCAACACACGGATGCTTGCACATCCTCAAAGAAATCACAGTCTGCATGTTTGGGAAAGGCAGCAGCTGAGGTTTTGTTGCATGGGCGCCTGGTCGGCTTGGCGGAAGGTCCACCTCAAGACAGCTGCCGAAGCTTTGAATCTGGCCAGCTCCAGTGCCTGGCAGGCTAAGCAGAGATTGTGACCAAGTGCATCTCTGACCGCGTGAAACTCCTTTCTGCGGCCACAGGCTATGCAAATCTGCACGCAAGCGATTGAAACAATGCGCGCAAGCCCTTCAAGGGCGAGACGCGGTACTTGTTTACAGCCACCGCGATTCAGCGGCCATGTTTTGGCGGCGCTGCTCATTTCAAGCAGCAGCCATGTTATGCACAATGAGGATCGACGAAGCACGATAAGGTGCTCCAGCGCAGGTGGCATCGCTATCGGCCTGCGTTTTGGTGCAGTGATGGCATTGGTCTCTGTCTTGGCATGGGGCTCCTGGCCAGGTCTGCTTCTAGATGCTGACTGTGTTCTGTCATGCAAAAAGGAAGCCTTGCAGGCATGAAGACGTTGCCCCAGGCGGCATCTCTGTCGTGCAGAGCAGGGCCACTGCCCTGGCATTCGGAGATGTGAGAGCCACGAGAGGGTCAACAGGAACTCAAAGCTAGTAAACATGATAAGCTGACTCCAGCAAGGTCGCCGATCCAATTGGAACTGACGTATCCCCTTGGTGGTTCTCTCCTGAAGTGCTCCTGCTCAAAAAAAAGCATTGCTGAGATGAAGCACGGGTCATGGGTCCTGGTTCACTCTGGTGGAAACCGATTGGACCTCCCTAGCGAGGGTCCGAACCTGCAGGTTGTCTCTTCAGGCTTAAGATCCAATGAAAAAGTTTGCGACAAACAGCCCTAGCAAAGACTGGCAAAGCCGCCTATACAAAAATGCCGGCGCGAAAGAGAGACGCGTACGTTCAACAGTGAATCTCCCTCTTCAACTGGAATTACACGCGCTGCAACAACAGCAGCAGCTGCTGCAACAGCAGCAGGTGTCATGGCCTCAGAGCCGAAGTGAACTGCTGCCGGCAGCATGGGCCTCGCTTCTGGCAACATACCACGCGAGCTAGAAGAACGACACACTCTGACAGGTTGTCCAAGCTTTGCGCGTTTCCTCTGGCACGGCGTTGGATGTCATGGGAGTACCACCTCGCAAGGCAGAGATAGCAATCAACTTTCTGACAGCCAGAATGCAGCCGACGCAAGGCAGTGCTGCTAAATCACTACCCCCGAGAGCTCATCAGACTGAATGCGTTGAGTCTCGACGTTGCATCATCTGAGCCGCTGCCCCAAATGGCCCCAGCTCAGACCCTGCTGCCACCAGTACTGTGCAATTGGTGTTTTCGTGTCGTGTCCGTCTCGTGGGCTGGCCCACGACAGGTGAGTCGTGCCCTGCTAGTCAAGTTCACCCCTGTGGCCATTTGGAGGGTTTAAGCTGGTTGGGTCTTCGATGATTGGCTTGGGCATTTGGAGTTGTTCGATTCAGGGGTCTGCCAAGGGGGTCATGGCGTGAGAGCTGTGCATTGAAAACTGAGGGCGTGAGGGTTGGGGATTGTCGGCCGAAAGTGTAGGGATTAGGATTTCAGGGTTATAGAGTTTGGTGAGGGTCATTGGGTGTTAGGGCCTAGCGCGTTTGGGACCACGTGCTTGTAAGGGCAAATGGTTTCGGCGGTTCAGGCGATGTTTGTCTTGCATTTTTTCACCAACCGTGCTGTACAGAACGCGTGTTTGAAGGATTGAGTAGAGTTTCAGGATTTAAGGATTTAGGATGTAGAGTCTTGGGCTTTCGGGGTGTCTGCGTGCTTCCCGGGCTGCTCCTTGGAACAGGCAGCACCCAAAAACTCGAAATAACACGGAGAGAACGTCATGCAGCACAACTTGACACAGCCCAGCCCGAAGCAGCGCTAAGTCATGGCCTGTGCCCTCGTCCATGCCACTTGGAAGGGCCGACTGAAATTTGGCCTCAGATGGAGTTGCACCACGAAGCAAAAGTCTAATGCGCGCCAAGTCATTTCCTGCATACAGCACTGTGGTTCGACGACATGGCTCTGCTCCGACGAAAACACTTCCTTGCGCTGCTCCCTGAGTGTGTGGCTGACATGTCTTGCAAGGCCTGCGCACATCAGCCAAAAAACCTGTGTAAGTCGCATCAGAAGCATCAGTCTGCCTCGCTTTGGGCTTCACAGACCTCCATGTTCGCTTGACTTTTGGCCTTGCGGCCCTCTTGCTCTGCCTTCTCCTCCTGGGTCATGAATACCACCAGAGCAAGGCCCTTTCAGAAAACCCCAAGAGTATCTTCCACTGTATCCCCGTGGTCCTCCTGTATTCTGGCCTCGATGAAAGCTTCGAGCCTGTCGCCAGCAGAGCTGCACACAACTGAGAGCCAGCGGCAGGAACGAAAACTCAGCGCGGGAGCGCTTCACCATTACCACATCTGCAGAAGAGGGTGCGGGTGCGTCGTGCCCAAAACTTTCTTATTTTCATGCCCTGCGTTGAATCTGAATGCCTAGTGCATGTAGGCAGCCATGCGAGAACGTCAAGCAGCGGCTGAGTCACACAACTGCTTTTTACTGAGCATCCCTGACTGCAGCAATCACAATCTGAAAGACTGGTATGATTGACCTTCCTCAGCAGGCCACCCTAATGCCCCTCTGCTGCTGCATTAGCCCCAAAAATTCGCTCTTTCAGGCCCAACCTCCCCCCCCCCAGACCCCCATTTCCCAACCTCTAGTAGCTCAGGTATATCATCGAAATTACCCCTCACCAGGAGCTTGCGTGACCTCAAAATGCCGCCACTCAGATGCAGCCTATCGGCCTATCGAGCTCTTCATTGACCGCGGCAACATCCTCATCCGCCTGACAGATCAATTCGGGTGATAGCATATGTGCGCGGCATATCTGCCCCCACCTGGTCCGGCTTCTGCTTTGGAGGCTTCCTGAGAGGCAACTGGTCCCTACAGCGAGTCTGCCGCAGAAACTCTCACAAACAAAATTCAGACGCTCGGCAATATTGGACACATGTTGTCAAAGCTCAACTCTCGACGAGGCGCTGGGGCAGGGGCGGGGGGGCAAAGTGGCGACCGACAAGTCACTTCTACCGCAAAGCGCAGACCAGAGAGCGCATGCGGAAGCTCAAAATTAAAGCAACTTGCTCCCAAGTCCCAAGCCCTGCACAGCAGGCTTCTATGTCCTTGTTCGGAATCAGATCCCATCAACGCAGCACGGCGCAAGTTTTAAATGATCTTCTTGGCACGATGTTCAGCGCGAAGTAAGATGGCACTTCATGGCAAGTGTGGGCAGTCTGCGCTCTCGCTGCGCATGTAGTTACAATGTAGTTACCGCACCCTCGCCATAAAAATCATGAAGTTACAGGACCGATCATGCTTGTGCTGCACAGACAGATAAGCCTTCAGCTTTAAATTGTGCGCACGTGTTTGCTGCGAACATGAGGACCGGCCTCTTTTTTGTCCAACAATCCTACACCGCAATGCGAAGTGTGATCTCCGTGCACGCTGGTGACCAACGGGTCGGCAGGCACACCTTCCCATGACACGCTTAAAAAAGGCCTGATATGAAATCACAAGTAGACCATGCAGTATCGCAGCTATGGACCCCTTCCTTAAGCAACTAACTAAAGGTTCAGCCACCTCGAGCGAACTGCCCTCCTTTTTCGCACCTGCGGGGCTAGGTACACGTCTGAGCGAAGCTCATTGTAGAACCCACGTTACATCACGCCGGGCGCGGAGGGCGGGCACTTGAGCAAGCAGTCGCCACGGAAACTTCACCTTTGTCTGCCAAAGGTTCAGCCACCTCGAGGCGAACTGCGCTCCTTTCTTGCACCTGCGAGGCTAGGTGCACTTCTGAGCGAAGCTCATTGCAGAACCCCACGTTTCCCCCATTGTACCCACTCAGGTCACAACAGCAGTCCACTCAACGTGTTCTGAAACCAAGAAGAGTCGGGAAGCCCCAATTGTCTGCGCTTTTGTCCGGCTGTAAGCAAAGGCTGGAAAAGAACCAAGCGGTGGCAAATCGTATCTCTGGCTTCTCGTGGGAGACGTGGAAGCAGGAGTACAGCAGATACTTCCTGGATATAAATTTCCATCACTTTGTGGTTCAGCCAACGACCGTGTCGCCTCACCAGCTCGCTGTTTTCAGTAGTGTGCAAAAGCCACGTTGCACCGCCTGCGCTTAGCGATCCCAGGTCCAGCTTCTTAACACCGAAAGCGCTGGTCTGGTCCAGTTTACAGTTTACAGGCCACAAGCAACTTGCTAAAGCGCGTCCTAAAAGCTCCAGCTGACATAGGCCGGAAGGAGCAACCAGGCTGCAGGTTGGCAAAAGCCAGGACGATGACTGACAGGAGGTTAGGCTGATCAACTTTGATCGCCTGATGCCTTGCTGCACTAAAACGCGTCTTTGGATCTTTCACGCCCAAGAGCACGAAGTGAGCAGAGTTGTCAAAGTCCTGAGGCAGCACAAGGTCTGCTCGTTTTGCAGAAAGGACCTCGCCAATGCGGCCAAGGCCGCCCCATGCCAGAGCCAAAAGTCCTGCAACCTGAGTCCAGCCCCATAGCAAGCATATGGAGAGGAGGGCGACAAGGATCTGCGGCATTGCTTGGCGGTGCACGTGTCTTCGAGGCGTAACCACTGGAAAGCAACGTCCCATGCAGGCTGTCAAAGGCGTCTAAACTTAGGAAAGCGAGTTGGAACTGCATTCACCGTCTCAGAAAACGTACTGTAGAGTCTGCCAGATGCGTAGAGCTCGCGGCCAGACTTTATTTACCAGTAGCGCATTCAGGAAATCGATGTCTGTAGCCCGCAGAGCTTCAAAAGCGCCTGCAGAGATGCCTTGCTGTCCATTCCAAAACTTTTCACGGAGCTGTCGAGTAGCTTCCTGCAGGGCCTTCCTTCAGGCAAAGGGTTCTGGTTCCTCAGCTGCTGACGCCTTGTATCTCCAGCGTGACGGGGCTGCAGAGCACCGAAAACACCATGGCTGCAGGCTACTAAGGCAAACCCTGCAAAGGGAACCTTGACGCTAAAGAAAACAAGCCAAACCCAACCCAGGAGGAAAAGGGTGCCTTCACCGGGGAATCCAAGGGATGAGTCAAACTGAAGGGGCTTGTTAACCCAGCACTTGAAGGCGCAGCTTTTGAAGCGGGCGTCCTCACCAGGGAGGGGGCCAGGCAGTTGCCCGCAAAATGAGCCTTGCCCAGTTTGCGGCCCATCTCTTGAGACGAGGAAGGTGCAGTAAGGCATGACCATGCTTCTGGAGAGTCCACAGCCAAGCACGGGCGCAAAAATGTCGGCCTCACGGGATGGGGCGTCTGCAGGCATAATGCGTGTCGGGCAGAAAGGCAGAGCGCCATAAAGTCCAAAGGCAACAGAGACGGCGGCAGCGCGCTGAAGGACAGTCATCAGGGAAGAAGATGAAGACCTTCCCTTAGATGTTGCACACCTTGCAACGTTGGAGTCGATGAGGGAACAGAACCTGGGAGGTCCGGCATCGACACGGGCCTTGCGGCAAAGGAGCTCGAGGGACGTGGGCAAAAGACCCTGGGTAAGGAATGGGCAGGGGGAAGAGGTCATGTGCAGAGGCCAGGCTCGAGGGCCCGACTGGCAAAGGCAGAAGAAAAGCAGCAAAGGTGCAAGCTCGAAAGTGCACAGGCTTGGGAACATGCTCCGGAGGGCCTTGACAAGTGTGGGCTTTGACTTTGCGGAGCGGTCCCTGGGGCAGCAGGCGCCTCCTCGGCTGAGTACAAAAAAGGCAAGGCGGTCCCCTGTTTCGTGCTCCAGAAACCACCAGTGCATGATTCGGCAAGATTTGGGGGTGGTCCGGAAGGAAAGCCACCTGATCGTAGAGAGAAAGGTAAGGGGCCATGCGTTCTACTAGGACCACTGGAACAAAAAAGGGCGATGGGCCTAGCGAGCCAGACTCGTCTTCCTCTATTCCGTCCACAATTGCGCGGTGGGAGGGCCCAGCTGAGTCGCCTGACTGGCAGATTTCCAGAAAGTCTGGAGACAAAAGTTGCGAAGGCATGGCGGCTAGGAACCCGCCCTCTCGAATGAGCACAGGCAAAATTGCACAAGCCGGGAGGTCGGGGCTGGTCACATCCAAAACCGGGAGCGCAATCTCCTGAAGCCTTGCCAAGAACTCCTGAATCAGTTCCATCGCTCCTTGGCGGGGAACTCACGGCCTGACGCCAAGCAATACACTCGGGCTTCCCCCTCGGGCTTCCCCTTCGGTAGGGAACCCGTGGCAGACTGTGTCAGAATGCTCGAGGGCACCCACGTGTGCCTTGAAAGCAGAGAAGGAGGTGAAGACACGGGTGTCGGCACAACCCCGGCACCACAGCACAATGTAAATAGTGTTGCGAGGAACAATGGTAGGAGAAGCCTCGATGACGTCCTTTGACGTCCTTCTCCTTCCGGAGCACTTTGCCGGCTTCCCGGCCTTCTAAGCTCGTCCTGCTCGAGGCCATCGGGAAGCCTTCGAAAGAGACCCCACAAGGAACAAAGCAGTGTCAGGCAAAGGCAGGTCCCCCACAGCAGGAATGATGTGGCCCAGACGCAGCCCGGAAGGGGGCAGAGGAAGAACTGGTAGGCTCGCATGCAAAGGCAGGCGGCTCGGCAGAGAAAGATGGAACCCTGGAGCGGGTAGCAAGGAAGCCCGGGCCAGCTAGTACCCACAAGGCGCCGGCTGTAGGTGGATGCAGGGGGAGCAGTGACCAGCACGGGAAGGTCAACTGCTACACGGATATTGCTTTGGGTTGGGGATTCAGGCAAAGTGTCCGGTAGCATCTCCCAAGAGGAAACAGATCGAGGGGACGAGGGCTGTGAAGCCGAAAGGGGAGAACGCAAGGCCTCGACGGCCGATTCCAAAGTAGCCACTAATCCTGGCCTACTATCACCCATGCAAGTATCCCCTGAAGCAGCGATTGGAGCGCGGACGCACCGACTCCGAGCAGGAGGAGCTTGCTGCCCCAGGATTCAAAGCTTCCTGAGCAGGAAGCCAGAAAAGGAACGACCTGAAAAGGAAGATTGCAAGAAGGAAGCCCGAGAGGATTCCGTCAGCAAAGGAACCAGCAAGGGTACGAAGGGAACCACTACAGTGGGATGGGCAGCCAAGCCCCCACCAGTTGGAACCCGATCCCTGAACTAAGAAGCTGGCTACTTGCGCGCAACTCATCACTTGGACAAGCAGTCGCCGTGGAAACTTCACCTTTATCTGCCAGCTTGAACCATCATCAGACTTTATACCGGTAATCTACCCAGAGGCTCAAGCGCTGTGGTTTGCCCTGTAATTTTTTGACTGAGCCTTGCAAAGCCCACTCACACCTCCTAGCGCCAATGGCTTTGGGTAGTGATTGATAAATCAGTTCGGAAAAGAGAAAACTTTCGGCCAAACAGAATAGTAAAAAGGGTACGGAACAAAGAAAAACTTGTGTCCCGTACGACATACTAGCAACGCCGAAACGGTATAATGGCAAGTGGCCGCAAGAGTCTTGCTTTTCAAATTCTTCCAGGACCCCCCCAAATGTTTCCCAACCTTTATTGGGGGAACCTTTTTTTTCTAGAGCCATGCGTTCGATGCAACTTGCTGCATGTATGATGAACTTCGGCGCTCAACTAGGAGAAACTCGAAAAACACATGACAATACATGACAGAACTTACCTCAAATCGTTCTGTCTCTTGCAGCTTGTCAAATGCTGGCATTTTGTGCATCCGATCCGGTACAATTTATTTACATTGCCAGTCGGCACCGTGCGAATTAGCGCATTAGTGTTGTGCAGCCAAAGCTGTCTGGGGCGTCCTACTCTGAGGGTTCCAATTGTGCAGGGATTGGTGCTATCAGGCTGGTAGCTGATCTGTCACGTTGGGTCTGCGAATGGACAGCGTAAAATGTGCCTGGCAAGTTTCACTCGCCATTGTTCTATTTTTTTGCTAAATGGGATGATGTCCCTACCTGCAATTTCAGGGGCGCTTCAAAACAATTTTGCATTGGGGGGCCCCTTGTTATTTGGAATCGTTTTCTTGCTTGAGGGGGGAAGTTTTATCACAACCGCTCTGTCCTCGAATTTCGTTGGCAAACAGCCACACCAACAAGTTTAGTGACTGCAGCTTGCTTCAGCACTTTGCAGAATAGGCCCCCGGCTCGATGGTATCCCAGAGGTCTGCCAAAACATTTTCCACTTCTTGCCTTGCTATGCAGGAGCATGGTCACAACAAAAGAACAGCTATGCGGCTTCTCAAGGTGCAGGCTCCAAATCCAAACCAGATTCGGCACTCTGCAAGCCTTTCATTCGGGACCCTGTGCAATTCGAACTGTTCGACTGAGATTTTAAGAAGCTGGCGTCCATGTGCCTGAGCCAGCGCGGCAGAGGCAGCCTGGACCTGCGCCAGGCTGCAAAGCTAGTACTTGAGCTGGCTAGGAGTGGCTCAGATTCGCATCGGATGGTCAGAGTCCAAGAATGCATGTTTTCTACCATTCTAATTCACCAGGAACGAATTCACATGACCTGCGCATTGGAATCTTATGCAAACATTCGCGAGATCCATCCATGCACTTTGCTCGGCTTCCTACACCGGCACCAGCATGTCAGGGTGCGTGTCCTTCCTTGGCGTGCCTCGATCGACTTTACACTCCGACACGTAACGTTCGATGCGAAGGGTATCTTGTTGAAGTGGGATCTGCTCGTGGTCGAAGTGTGCAGCCGCATCGCAAGCCGAAGACTGAGGTGCATGTTTCAGAAATGTTGATTTCATTGTCTTCTGTGCTGCGTGCAACCGCCAGGCGAGAAAGCGATAGCAAATTAAGAAGAGGGGTTCAGTGCTTGCAGCGTGCGTTCTCCTATTTATCTCATCACACGGTTTTGCTCCGAGACTGCAGCGCTGCAGTACTGGTTGCACAGAATTCTGCTCATTACTCTGCTGACCGCTGGTGCCCAGGGCATACTGTGAGCTTGACAGCACAGGTGAGTCAAACAATGTCAACATTGTGAGGCTCGAAGTCGCACAAGAGCTCAATCAAAGCAGGCTTCATCAGCCTGCTCTCGGGTGGACGGAGCATCTGGGCTTCTGCTCTTCTGGTTCCACTGGAATGCACCTCAAAAGTCGACGTAACTTCTCAGGTTGAACAAGCAGACCCTGCAGCATTTCAAGTAGCGAAACACGTGACCGCTTAGCTGATGACCCCAGGCTTGCTCCAGTTCTTTGAAGCGCTCTTGGAGTGACTTTCCCTTCAAAGCAATTTCACAGCTCGTCGGGCATGTTGTGGCAGGAACCACACTGAGAAAAAGCCTCTCCGGAATTCAGGCCAGAAAGAGCCGCTTGGGAGAGCACCTTGTACCTGCTAACGAGCAGCTGCCAAGACCGCCAAGAGTTTCCGACAAGTTTGGGTCACTCCGCGGAAGCACCCTCGAATTCCTCACGCATTTTGCGGACCTTCTCGTGGTCCACCTGCACACGACGTGCAAAGCACTGTACTTGGGTTGGATGAGTGCTTTCCGGAGACCTTGGCCAGCACTGGAGCATCCCCGCTTCTTCCAGAATACCAGGGCACCATCGGCACAGGTCCTCTGGAGCAAAAGCGCTGTCTGCAAACACCAAGCACTTGGGGAGCGGCTTCCTCCGCGCAGCTGCGCGGCATCCTCCAAGTGAAGCAGGCTGGCGGCGGGGTCTGATTTGTTCAGCTCCGGCTCGGTTGCAATCTCGTTCTTGGAGGCCGCGTGCGCACCTGCGGTAGGTTTGCAGCAGGCAGAGACACAGAAAGTCTTTTAAGATTTTCTGAGAGATCCATGGCAAGACTATAGATTCGGTAATCTGCCTTCGCGAGCGTCGCGTTGTGCAAGGGCAGCTTCGGCAATCTCTCTCGCCTAGCAAATACCGAGCAAGCAAATGAGAAGCTCAGCTGAACATTCCAAGACTTCAATTCCACCTTAGCAGCAGCAGCCGCTTCTGCAGCAGCACGGCCCCGTAGAGGCTTCACTGTTGCTGCCATGGCTGATCGACTAGGGTACTGTGCTGCAAGTCTCCAGGGAAGACTGCTGTGCTGTCTGCAGCTTCAAGACTTGCTGGAGCTAGCGCACGAAAACTCCTGAGTCTATCGAAGCCATGAGGATCGACATGGTTCAGAGTACTACACACAGGACGTCAAGCGCGACTGAAGCGTTGATTGCAGGGAGCCAGGATAGAGATTGCAAGAACTAAGGGAACCGGAAACCGGCGGTTTGGAAACACCGCGGAGTTTCCAAAGGAAGTCTAGCAGTCTGTGCCTGCAGTCGGTGTGCCAGTCTCAGCTGCGCTGCAGCCTTATCCTCCCAGAAGCCTCCCCTGCCATGACGGTTCAAGGTTCCCATGAGGCAGAGCTGAGAGCTCTTGAAGAAGTTCGCTTCACGGAAACTGCTTGATGTGAAGTGCAGCTGGACTTCTGACAGAAGCAAATCCACAAGGCGAGGAGACGTCATCTGACGGTGCCGCTCCTGCAGGAAGCGGCCAATTGTCTCAAAGAAATGCAGATTGTGAGCACTGAAGCATAATTGTTCTCCAAGTCATGCTGCAAGAGTCCTCCACTGCCTCTTGCTTGCGCAGATTGGCATGCACCCAGAGCTTGTCTGTAAGATCCTGCCGAGTGCCATAGGTGCAGTTGCACTATCACAATCTCGCCCAACAGACTCGACCTAAGTTTAGCCCACCGTGCATTCCGGATGCATGGACAATTTTGGAGGTCTCCTGAGAGTGGGATGAGTGCAAAGCAAAATAAGCAGCCCTGCACAAACTGGGGTTTGTGCAAATGTGTCTGAACATCATTCCCGGGGGCGGTGAGTCAAAATGCGAATGCTGGCTTGTGAAGAAACTGCGGCAGAAGCACTTTGTTTTGGAAGCCGTTTGCGGCCCACGCATGAGAAACTTGAGCGTATCAGCTGAAGTTCCATGGCCGACCCGCGATTTACTGAGGACGCAAGAACCATTGTAAGTTCCATCGCATTTTCAAGTCAGCCATGGCTGCGCAAATAGAATTTCATGGTGAGCAGAGGGTACAATAGGACAGCGGTTGAATTTCCTGGCACCTGCGAGGCCGCATCTGCTGCCACCAGCTTGGACTGAGCAGACATGATACAAAATGAGGATGGTTGGAAGCACCAATGGCTCACAATGTTTTGGTGGCTTCAGTTAAACAGTTAACTGCTTCCGTCATCAAATGCTTTCTCATCATGGAGGGAGGGTAGATTTACCGGCCAAAGCGTTAAACTGTTAAACCTATGAAGAGGTGGTTCTTGGAGCCAGCAAGTTTTAACGCTTACTTCAAGTGCTCCTGAAGTTGCTCGCTGAGCTCGTCCGCTTGCCGTGAGCCAGGGGCGACGTTGTTCCTGGTGAGTGCTTTTGCGCAGCTGACAGTGCGCACTTTGCTACACTGCCCCCACCTCATGGAGAAGCCACGAAGAAACTCATCAAGGACCTGGGAGAGAAGGGCGAGTCCTATCTGCTTATGCACCAGGCTCAGGCTGTGTTGAATCCAAAGTCCATACCTGAGCCTTGTCGTCGGGACGCTGCAGAAACTCGAGGAACCTGCCAATGCAAGAGAGACCGTCTGGTCTGAGCAGGGGTCACCTTGCTTTTTTTTACGCTCCCCTCCTTTTAGCACTTCCGGGCCTCCTTTGCATGAAAACCAGATCTTTGCAGTAACTACCCGCATGGTCATCGACCTGCGCAACTTTGCAAACACGGGCACCCATTTCGTGGACTCAGCGGGAAAGCATCCACACTTTGGCCTCCAGCAGTGTCTCACGGATTCCAAGCCTTTGCAGTGCATCAGATTCAGACTCTCTTGCTGAGAAATTCTTCTCAGTGCTGGACAGGTAGTGGCTCATGTTCTGCAGCCACAGGTTTTGGAATCCCTGACGTGGACGATTGCGCGGGCGACAGTGACGTCCAAATATGACAGTTTGCCGTTCTAACCCACAGCCCAAATCCAAAGCTAAAGCCTCCTTGGTCTGGCGGCTATCCTTGATGATGAGTGTGTTGACCACCTCAGCCACGGATGCAGCGAATCTTGCAGAAACGGTCTGCCTTGTACCGACACTTTGCACACTGCCTCCTCTGCCTCCTCTCCCCCTTCTGCACCCTCCTCCTTCTCGTCCAGCTTCTGCCACGCTTCATCCTGCTGTCCCTCCTCCTCCAATGGCTCACCACCCTGCACGAAAGCATACTTGAGAAGCTAGGGAATGCACGGGGGCTCACAGTGGCTACGTAATCATCACTTTGAGTAAGCAGGGGAGGAGGTACCGACGGAAAAGCAGGGGGTTCACTGCCTGATGTCAATGACACTCAAAGACAATTGTACCTTGCAATCGAGGGCGGGCCCGACCCCAATGCACCGCGAGTTCCCCCTTAAAAACATTTTAAAACAACAAGCCAAGCTCCACATGCGAGTACTCTGAGACCTCCTATGTTCAACCAACCTAAATAACTTTGGAAGCAAGAAGTCTTTCAGGTCAAAGGCCACCAGGATTGCTTGAGCATGTTGCGTTGGAATAGAAGTTTGACAACAACTTTCATAATCAAAAATTCATGGGAACCTTCACACGAACACCTGACAATAAAATGGCTGTAAGCTCTGTAAACCAAAAGTCCAATGCCTCACACTTCGGATAGCTAGCTAGTCTCGAAGGCAAGTGGAAACTATGTCTTGGCGTGCATCACTCTGCTTCCAAATGCAAGTTGCCTTTACTGTCGTGCTTTGTGAGCTTGCATGTAGTGTCCGTTCCTATCCGCCCAGGGATTGGTTCAGTCGCCTCCTCTGTGGCAGGCGCTGCTTCTGCTGCTTCCGCTGTCTCCACTGCAGCTGCCTGCAAGAGTTTTTGCAAAACCAAAGTGAAGAACCTCTGCAGCTGAGGGACTGATACAGTTCTCGCCCCAGTTCTCGCCTCTGGGGCTTCTTCAGCCTTTTCATCTTGCCCAGCTCCCTCTTCGGCTCCCATCACTGGCCTTGGCAGGCAAAGCTAAACAAGCGTGATGTCTACCATTTAGAAGCAGCGCCTGTGCCAGAACGCGACAAGCTCCCGGATTCGCTTGAAGATCACCTTTCGGATGTAAGGCCAGATTTTTTAGGTCTGGCCTAGTGCAACAGCGGATAAGTGGCGCCTCCGTCGCAGGGACGACCTCCTCGCCTTCCTCAGCATCCTGGCACAGGCCATGTTGCCTCATTTTGTTTTCACATTCCCAAATTGGAGCTAAGTTGTAGGTAAGCAAATCTCCTGCACCAGAATGTCATGAGAGTTGTGGAGTGGAGCCGAGAACTTGGTCGCGAAGACCTTTTCCAAAGCAAAGGTCTCAGGGGGCCGAAAAGCTGTGATGCGATTCGTTGTCCCGACCTCTGCGCTCTTGAATAGCCAGGCTTGGTCTGCTGCACACTTTGCCCTTGCCAAGTCCTCTCGAAACAGTTTGCTCAAGCGATTACCTTCGCATCAATTCAGCGATCCTCCTCGAGACCTTGACAAACTCGCGCTGACTCGCCCTCGTTGGCGTGTCCCTCCGACATGTCCTGCACACCAGCGCGGTCTTTCATCAATCTCAAGACGTGAAAGGATCCAGTTCATCACTGGTCATTTGGCACCGGTTTCTTGCGATTGGTTCGCTTAGTGCTGCAAGACATGGCTACTGATCAAAACCACGTGCCCCGCGTTCACGTTCCTATGCTGCCTGATCCGGAGGGTCTGCATCGCAAACTTGATCCGGAGGGTCTGGAACGATGACTTACTCTTGCTGGGTCCCACAAGTGATCCGGGGTGAGTGTGTGCTGATTACTTTGTTTGCTCTGGAACGAGTATGGAACGGGCATGTAACGGACACCCGGCGCAACGTCTATTCTGAGAGATTGCATTCGTTGGTCTGGAATGAGGGGATCTGGAACGGAAGTCGAGGACTTGTTCCGGATCTCTGGATCGGGGTCTGGATCGGGATGTGCGTTTCCCTTTGTTCCAGACCAATCATATTGACCGGTAGCCACATAAGCACACAGCCCGGACGCAGTCCAAACACAACCATGTCGTGTATGCCAGACTGCTTCAGCCAAACAAACAGCCCCGCTGTTTGCCTCTTTCTGCACTGCCTCCAGCAATGCCGCCTTCAATTCAAGGGGTTGTCTTTGTTCATTTCATGCTTTTCATGCTGTCAGCTGTGAACAGCTGTGGCCTCGTCCGGATGGCAGAGTCTGATGACTCTAACCTCATTGAGCAAAAACTAACGATAAAACAGCCTGTGCTTCGGCCAGATGAAGACACATGTAGCTTAACTTAGGAGACCGCAGCAGGTGCAAATTCTGGATCAAAGTCTGCCTGCTGCGAAACAATCTCTGCAAAAGTCTCCTGCTGGGCTTCGAATTGACAACAGCACAGCCTTGTCGGCGGCCTTCGACAGCTCCCGTTCCTGCAGCCAATTTCCAGCAGTAACTCTGTCAAATATTTTGTTTGCATCACCTGTGTCCAAGCGAGCGTCATCGAAAAAGTTTTAAAAAAGCAGCCCTTGGGAACCTACATACCGACGCGCGCGCTATGCAAAGGCTTAGGGGTGCCATGACTGGGACGACAAGATGTTCCAGTCAAAAACGAACAGCGGCTATAAAGAATCTGGATCTCAGACTACGAATCAAAGTAGCAAAGCGGCTTCGCGCCCTGATAACCCTTGTACAATTTTAGAATATTTGAAAAAGCGATCGCGAACTCAGGGTTGACCAAACAGATGCAGATGGCCCTGGCCCAGTCCCCGTTCGGATCCCGCACACAAAGTAGGGAACCAGGATGATGTAAGGATGGCATGAATGATGCACAAGCACATGGAGATGACCCAGTTCTTTGGGTGGCGTCCCTGTTACCCCACACACAGACAAAGAATGATGTAAGATGGAAATGACATGCAAAAGTAAACATGGCGCCCGGCTCCGCCACGTTTGTGAATGGGACCCCCTCTCCACCCTCACGGCCCTTCGCAACTATTACAAAAGCGGCTGTGACCCCACGCCTGCGAGCAGATTGCGGAAAACTGTAATGCAAAGCTATGGCTTTAAGTACAATGGTTATGGAACTGAAGTTTGTGGAGCAGTTATTAGCCGTCTCTTGGTACAGACATGACTCTTCGGTGCAACGTTTTTATTCTTATCACTATCTGATTATTACTAGCAGGCGTGGAACCCCTTTGTTTAGGTTTTCAATCTTAATGCCTTTCTCCATGTGCGCGTATAGATAGTTTAGTTTAGCATCATGGCTCGGACAGTTGTGCACACGCAGACTCTCACCTGACATGCGCTGATGCCACCGACACTTGGCAGACCAAAGACGGCAAAGGCATTGACACAACGAAAGCAAATTTGCCAGTCATTTAGGTCGTTGTTGTCTTGCCGATCATTGTAAACCTTTTTGCAACCATGCAAACCGTGTAGCTCAGTTTGGTCTGAACACGGGAAGATCATCTCTTCGTAGCAACCATGACCACTAAAAAATGAAAGGCAAACGTCCATGCAGGGGTGGAGAGGGTAGGTAGATGTGCACGCAAACCATGCACAATGTGCAGTCTTCGTGCCGCGTCGCATCATCTGCCGGGTTTGAACACGGCATGTTCTCATGTACGGCTCTGAGACGGCTGCACCACCATGTATCGACTGTAAATGTCCGCAAAAACCACACCCTTTTGCGAAAGGAAAACGGCCCGACTTTCTGATTTGACCAATCCAGCTGCGCCCACGGCACACAGGAACTGGCTTGCAGGTACATCTGCACTGCATGCACAGAAGCGTCTTCGTTGGCTGGAGACTTCTGCCTAAGACATGGGCAAATGAACGAATTTCATGGTTGGATCTGCGGAGCCTTGCCCGCCGCGTCAAGCGTCGCGAACCTTGCACACCCCGTCATGCCGGGCGTCGCGAAAACCAAACCCACCCCGTCACACCGGGCGTCGCGAGCCCTGCCTACCCCGTCACGCTGGGCGTCGCGAGCCCTGCCCACACCGGGCATCGTGAAACATACCATCTCTGTCACACCGCGCATCGCGCAAAAGATACCCAACCCGTCACACCGGGCATAGCAAGCTTTGCCCACGCTGTCACACCGGGCGTCGTGAAACATACCCACCCCGTCACACCGGGCGTCGCGAGCCTTGCCCACCCCGTCACACCAGGCGCCGCGAAAAACCACACCCACCCCGTCACACCGGGCGTCACACCGGGCGTCACACCGGGCGCTGCGAAATGTACTCACACCGTCACACCGGGCGTGAGGAAATATACCCACCCCGTCACACCGGGCGTCGCGAAACATTCCCACCCTGTCACACGGGGCGTCGCGAAATATACACACCCCGTCACACCTGGCCTCGCGAAACACTCCCATCCTGCGAATTTGGCAGTTCAATTGATGACAAACCTTGTGGGGACAGGGCTTGCGATTTGCGCTTTGGGCAGCTCAATTTATGACAACCTTCCAGTTGGAACAGTTGACATAGCTTGCATTATTTTAATGACTTAGAGACTCTACCCGTTGCGATTTATTATTTGTGGAGAAAACACCTTAGGGGGACACACCCTTGCGATTTGTCGTTTTGGGACATGATTTTTGCGAGAAAAACTTAGGGGGACACCCCTTGCGATTTGTGGCTTTGGGACGCCCAGGCCAGCGGCCCCCCAAACTATTCAAACTATTTCAACCCGCCGCTGGTCCACGCCCCGAACTCCATTTCCTTCATCAAAAAAAACGCATCATCACATGCTACACAAAGGTTCCTCGTACATATATATATATATATATATATTTACGCACCTAGTACTCAGGGTCAGAGGTCCACCTCGACATCGCTTCTAAGCAAGGCTGATCCAAGCATCGCTTTTACCAAGTTCCACGTCTCATTCACGTCTCTAGATATACCGGCATCATCCGGCATCAAAAACTGTCTTTGGCAGCTCAGGTTGTGCCTGAGCTGGTATCCCTTTCGCTTGCAACAAGATCCTTCAAATCTGGAAGAGAGAGCGAGAGAGGGTGGGGAGAGGAAGAAAGCATGAATCATACATAAAAACTGGACTAGCTGACACGATATGTTCCGGCAGCGATCCGGGCACAGCACATGCAATTTACCCAGCTACTCCAGGCTGCGAGGCCTCAGCTTTGACCACAGGCGTTGCAGCAGACCCTTCCGTCCAGAACGGGGCCAGAAGCGTGCTCAAACGAGCCTGGCGGTTTACCAACTGACGAAGCCGGTGCGTGCGGTCCGCGCCAGCCTGGTGATTTTCTTCTGCGTCCTGCAGCTGCAGCAAGGATGAGGAGAAGCCCTGAAGGGCCGCCTCAGAGCGTGCTTCGCTTCACTGAGACGGATCGCTCAAAGACGTTTCGGCAAGGGCTCAGCCTGCCAGCTTGCAAGCTGCCGCAAGTCTGCGGGGTAGCCGAGGATCAGGATGCCTTTCGGCCTGCAAGAAAACGTGAAGACTTCCTGTTTTTCATCACAATTTGAGGATGCCTGACGGGTTCTGCCACTTCCTCCTTCTTGTCCTTTCCCTTGGGCTTCCTGGGCTTGCAGAATCAGGGGTGCATCCAAGCCAAGACCATGCCGAAACCCGGCTTCTTTGGATCTTCCTCTTCAACCTGAGTGCATTGGACTGAACGTCTCTTGGCAGTGACTGGACGTCTCACCCCATCCACGGCAAGGTCATGGCAGGTTTCGGTGCAGGAGCTGAAAGTAACTGGCACAAACAGGCTATGGCATCACCGCGTTGCCAGAAGAGCTGCATGTGAAGCCCTTGCCGCCTCAATCTTGCGGAATAGCATTTCGGCCTGCAGCTGCGCCGCGATGTTGGGCCTGAGATGCTGCAACAGGGAGTGTCGATGAAAGTGTAAGACTTTTAAGAGGCCTGCCCCTGCGATGCAGCTTCTTTTCCGAGCTCTCGCATCCGTGCTAAAATGGGCCAGTCCGGCTCCTCAGTCTGAGCTCAGTTCGATCGTCACATGTCTCACCAAAATCCCCTACCCTGTCCTGCGGAGGCTTCTCTGCCAGGGCAATGCATTCACTTAGAACCTACAGCGCTCTCTGCCTCTCTCCCTCTTGCAAACAACAGCTTCTGACGCCAGCCTCTGCTGGCTTTACAAGGGCATATTCAAACTCCTCCATGGAAGTTGAAGGCAGCTCGTCTAGCAGGTAAGGAGTCACACGATCAACAAATCTAGCTGGATTCTCCTGACAAAGTCGATCTGCCAGAGGATTGCAAACAGATGCAGACCGACCTGCTCAAACCGGCACAGCTCGACACTTGTCTTCAAAGAGTCGTCGAAGGGGGAAAAGGCTGCGCTGACCCTGAAATTGCGGCCCGCACTGGAGACAAGCCCCACTGGACTTCCAACGATTGCAACCACCGGCAAGAAGTCAATAGCGAGTTGCGCCTCACAGTCTCAGGCAAACAGTGCGAACAGAGCTTTTATGCCAAACAAGCGTGGCTTGCACGATGGCCGTATCTGCAAAACCAGTGGGCATTTGAAAGATCTTTTGTCCGTGTCCCAGGCATTGACAGGAAAGCAAGTGCATGTAGTCGATCTACAACTTGAAGCAATCCGATGGCTCGCAAATTCTGAGCTCACGGTGGGAGCAGCAAGCATGCCGCGACAAGCATCAAGACGGGATCTGGCTGATAAGGTCTGATAAGTTTAATTTACTCCAAGAGGCTTGGACAGCAAACACTGCTATGCGCACATGACGTGACAATTTTGATTAATGCGACATGTATGAAGGCGGGACGATGTCCGGCGCGAGCACAGTACAGGCTACTGCGCAAGCGAGCGAAAGCATGAATTGTGCTTTATCCTGCCGCCAACTGCGGCGTAGCACAGCGGCAAAGTCTCTGTAGATTCTGCCAACACTGCATTTCACATACAGTTCGAGGCGCAGGGCGAGCGACTGCTGGCCACTGGAGTATCCTACCAGCGCTCCTTGTAGAGCGCTTAATCAAGCGAAGCACCTGTGACAGTGAAGATTAAGTTGCTTCACTGTGCACCGTGTGGAAAATCAGCCGTATCACAAGAACAATGCAACTCAGCATGTCTTTGCTTTCATCGTTTCTATAATGAAGCTAAGCAAGCCAGGCATGCTGAAAAGCAAGCCGCTTGCTTGAGTTCTTAGAGCTGAATGGGGGGCAACAAAGGAATGAAGAAGACATAATGGTTGCCGGATGAGGCCCAAGCTAAACGAGGAGTCTTGGTACCTTCCTAGGTGAAAAGCATCGCCTGCAGGAGCCTATGCCCGCGCGCAGGCAGCCAACACATTAGCTGAGGACGTCCCACAAGGCTCTGTGAGCTCCTTTAAAAAAAGCTGGAATGGCCTCTGCTCTGTGAATCGGTAAATTCTCTGGAACAGGACGGGCATCCTCTCGAATGCCAAAATTACAGAGCCAAGCAAGGAGTTCTACAAGGCAAGTTTACCATGAGGCAGTGCTTTGTTTACTGCCTTTTGGGCGACGAAGGGTCTGCGAGCACTTCTGTTGTTTGCGCCTGCTAGTCAGGCGCTCATTGATTTCTACAGCTGCAGTGACAGACTTCAGCAGCTGCTCACACCTGCCGCTGCAAGGACAAGCTTCGCCGCAAAAACAAGCGGGAATTCTGCTTGCCAACGAAGTCTGGCCTGCGGCACACAGCGTCCACGTCTGCTTCCGTTGCATACTCGTCAACAGGCACCTGGCAATGTGGGTTGAAGCAACACGCAAACATTTGTTTCAGCGTTCATCCGGCCTTCATGCCTGCTGCTGGGGTATTGGAACCCATTGCAGGGCTTTTGGGCTTTGATGTTCGCTGAGGAGATTTTGCAGCTGCTGAGGGAGACTGCGGCACCTGAAGCTAGATCGTGGCAACAATATTCAGAATCGAAGCGACGCGCAGAGATAGCAGTCCAAGGAAGAAGCGTATGTGCCCAAGCTCCCTTCACTTCCAAGGCTCTCCTGCGTAAAGTTCCTGTCAACAACGCAAATCAGCTAATGCTCAACATGCTTCAAGAAGCTTACGAAGTCACGGTGTGGTGCCTGCGCAATGCTGATTGATCCCAAGACCACGCTGTTGAGTCTGATGTGGACCTTGCAAACTTGCAAACACTTGTGGAATCTTGTGACTCAAAACGGCATGTCTTGGGGCAAGCCACAGCTTGAGGCAAGACAACCCAAGGAACCCAAGGCCTGGTGGAGGAGGGTGTGCTGGGATCTTTGCGTTCCTGTTTGTTGTGTTGTTGGGTCAGTCTGCAGTTGTGTGCCTATAAGTCGCAGCTGACTGACGCCCTGTCCTTGCTTTTGTTCAGCCCCTCGGCTAGTGCCAGCCGTTCAGCCAACTGCATGGTGCATGCCTGATCGCATGATTGTCGACTCCAAGTTGAAACAATACGACCCAAATTAAGCCTCGAGAGCTTCAATTCGTTGATCCTTTTCAGCAAGACTCTGCTCTGCCTGTCCAGGCAGCGCCACAAAGAACATACAGGCCAAGCGAGAATGGTCAGGCAATCCCTGCCTGCTGTAATCGAGCGAGAAGACTTTCAGATCCCTCGTCGACTTTTTCATTCGGCAGCTCAGGTTTGGGAAGTGCTCGGCTTCTCATCTGCTCTTGCATACAAGACCAGCTGGGCAAAGGATTGTCCAGAGGAAAGAGCAAAGGGCTGGCAGGGCTTGTGGCCCACTTGCTTGCCGATCGCACGTTCGAGGACTGCGATGGCTGCTTGACCTTTGCAAACCACAGAATCCAATCTACATGATTTGGAAGCCTCTGATCATTTGAGATTCCGACTTCTAAGCCCTTCGAGCTCCAGTACCTTGCGTTGATCAGATTGCAAAAACTCACAGTCACACCTCGAACGCAACTGAGCGAGCAGACTGTGGAGGTGCCGACAGAAGCAGGGTGGCTCGGGTAGCCGCTGGAGCCTCTGGGTCTCTAGGTCTTAGACAGTGAATCTGAACGGATGCTCATGGCAGCAGGCCCACACAGCGAGCGGCCTTGAACGAAGATACTGGTTCCGAAGAGGTACAACGTGCCCGCCTAGAGGTGCCGGCTGCACCTAGCACGGTTCGTCGGGGCATCACTTGCCTGTTTCGGATCCCGAGCTCAGCAAACAAACTGGATCTGAAGACTGCCACTGGATCAGCTTCTCATCTTCAAAGCTGGTGTCAAAGTAAACGGGTAATAAATCCACTGCAGGATGCCGACTGAAGGCATCCTTCAACGGCATGGAAGCGGCCATGCAGCATGCTCGCAAAGATGAAGATGGTGTGGATACAACTGCATGAACGTTGGCTTGGAAAAGGAAACACCAAGTAGAATAAAGTAAGAAGCAAAGCAAAGAAACAAAGCTGAATCCTGAACCCCTGGGTGCGTTCTGCACCTCAAAGCCAGGTCCCCCAATTGCTCATACACTTGCGGATAATTTCCAATTATGTGCACCCTACACTCCCAACTACCCACAAATCCTGACCCCTGAACCTCATGTGCGATCCCGGTTCTGAGTTCACCAGCCCCCTCGCCCCCATGATACTCCTCGCACCCCGCCCTCATTCTTCAAAAGTGTCAACAACAATCACAGCGGTGGGGCCCCTCTCGGTCGCTATCCTCGAAACTCTCGTCGTTTTTGACGCCTCAAACATACTCATATTTGTCGTCACCTTTGGCCCCGCGTGCTTTCGTCGTATCTCAAAATCACCAACAATCACAGGGATCGTGGGATGCGGTCCTCGCAACGACAACTCTGGGTAAACCTTCTTGAAATCTTATATGAACTGTTATCAGCCCTCCAGAAACGCTTAAGAACCCTCTATAAACCATCCAATACTCCCAACAATGGGCTCCCATTTCGGTACGCCTTAATATTAGGTGCCGTAACATAATCTAGAACCAAGGGGGCCTTAAGTTTGACAACAACGCATATATAATTGAACTCCTGGCACCAAAGTGCACATCTATCTAGATCCCAATTTTTGCCACCCCTTTCCCCATTCCTATGTTCCTATGATTCCTATGTATACAGATGCTGTACTTGACTGCATTTGCAATCTTCCAAGATTTCGCAACGCTGTAACGTAGAGCATTTGCAGCCAATAAAAAGCTCCAAGTGCTGTCGATGACCCTTGTGACACTTAGGGTAACAGGTGCTCGAGAAAGCAGCGGTGGGATGATGGCCTTCATCGAACTCGAACCATGCTGGCGGCGGCGCCTTGGATTGAATTTGGTAATCTGGAAGGGACGGAGGCAAGTGGCCATAGGTTGCCGGCCCACTCGATGGGAGCCGTATCAGATGCACCCGCACTCATACTTATCACGCCTGGCGACAAATCCAAGTGATGACGTTGTTGCTTCAGATGCTCCAGAAAGCCAGTCTTGAGAGGCCTCCAGGCCACATCCATTGCCGGGAGTCCAAGCTGAAGCCAAACGGCACCGAATTGTCAGATGAGCATGAGATCACCAACTGAATGCAGATTGTAATCAGAAAATCCTGCGCCAAGATTACATTTTCTGGCATGGATTAAGAATTCCATCATCTCAAGACAAGGGCGGGCATCACAGCTTTGCGGTCCCCAGATGCCAGCAATAATCACTTTTGGATCCACGGCATTTGTCTCATGTCCGCGTAGTCTCTGCGAGCGCCTCCAAGTTGAAGTCACAGATAGAGGAAGCTCTACGTTTTGACTCGGCAGCAGGTTGCCTGCTGGACATCTGCTGCTCGGTGGAACTTGAGCTGCACGTGCCCAGGCTGTCTGAGCACATGAAACTGCATGTCAGTCAAGCCTTTGTAATTTATACTTTGCAACCTATGACAAGCAACAGCTGAGGCATGGGCGAAACACTTTCCGTGGGGTCCTCTCTCTGCAGCCAGGCATGATTCCGAGCTGCACTAGACGTCAACCGCTCCTTGCAGGCAAGTCGTCTACTGGCAGTCAAGCCCCAAAGTCTCAGAATGTCTCAGAGCCCTCAGTCCTCAGCCTCTACTCTCAGCGAATCCGTTACGAACGCTGCCGACTCCTCCAGTCCAATCGACTCCCAAATGGTTCATGCATGGAGACATCCTGGCTGCACATGTCGGGCCTTGCTCAACGGCTCCCACGATGGCGGATCAAACTCCAGCGGGGCTCTGACATTGGAGGGAGGATAGAACGGCTCCTGGTCTTCAGGAAAACGCAACATAGTTACATAGTTGCAACTGATGGCTTTTGCTTGCAAAATCTTGGAAATCATCATACGCGAGGCACGTATCCAGCAATGAGCGTGAAAATGATCACCTGGGCTGCGGGTCACGACAGTTACATTGTCTAGGCAATCCGAAGGCTGCGCACATCGCATGCCAAGCTCTGGGCTCCAAGGGCAAACATGTCCACCTGCCTGCCGTAGTCCTGCCGCTCGACATCACTCGACTACGCACCATATCGCCAGATATCCCCAGCATGACAGCACACAGCGCACCTGTTCAGCCAGAATCTCCGGTGCCATATAGCCATGAGAGCCCTGGAGTCCTGTCCATGCTCTGCCATGCTCATGTCCAACTTGCATGCGCACTTTGCAGGCAGCTGAGGCTCGGGACCAGTGAATCGACAGAGGAAGGGCGCCTACGCATGGTGGCTGAGACTTCACGTTGCCCGCTACTCAGCCTAAGGCCTAAGACTGCCTTCCGCGGGCACTCCCGTGCAAGGCCAAAGTCACCAAGCTGCACAACAAGCCTCGATGCAAAAAAAGAAATTTACTTCTGATGGCCAGCCCACGAATGAGATCCTGACCCTGACCCTGCCGGGACCAGAAAGATGTTGCGCGGCTTTACATCACCATGCAATATGTACAGATCCTGGCTGCAAGCAGTGCCTCACCCTACGCGTACCACCCTGAGAGAAAGCTGTGCTGGCTCCTCGTGAAGGTACCGAAGGCCTGCAATGGATGCAGAGCACTTGCAGATGCCAGCACAAGCCACGGCCCGGAACCTTCCAGAAGCTGTCCAGAAAGCCTCACGGCCTGCACAGCATCACTCGAAGCTGGTTGACGTGAAGGCAAGGTGGGGCCTGAAACTCGGACAGCATGCCCCGCGGACCCATGGCCTGAGTTGACAAGCTGAGTGAAACTCTATAGAATGCCTTGAATGACGCGCTGAGGGTGCTACTGCGTGGAGATCGCCTCCAGCTGCAAACGGCATGACCAGCAGAACCTGATACCAACACACAACACTGATCCAGAGGGGAGCCATCCTGTGGGACTGCCTCTGATGGAGTCTCGGCAGCGTAGAGCAGCGGCCTTAGTGCCAAGGTGGGCATTCAAATCGATGTAACGAAGAACAAGTTCCTGGCTGCTTTGCGAATGAAAGAACAAATGAGCAAAATGGGGTCGATGAGTTACCACAACGTGTCCGTCGGTGCTTGGAGAAGCATGGCATAAGTCTGGCCACTTCTAGGTTTCTGGTGTGGCAATGGACCACCATGCAAACTCAAACAAAACTTGGACACTTCAGCAAGCCCCGGCCACTTGGCCTCGTCTCGACAACTTGCTATTGGCATGTTGTTTTCCTCTAGCTGGTGGCTGGCATCAGATTCTCGATCAGATTACAGCAGGCGGAGCATCTGTACAGTACTGCATCGTGGGTGGGTGCTTGTTGGCCCGATGCCTGCTACTTGCTGGTTGCAAGTTCCGCTTTCCGTGAATAAGTCATTTTGTCCAGTGGACGGGCAACTCGGGACATTTGCAAAAGGAAGAATTTCGCGCTTCATGAAAATGTCAGTGGCAGTAAGACAGCGGGCCCGTCGAAACACTTCAGGATAGAGTGCTCTGAGAATGAATGCAGGGGACTCGGAATAGATGCTGATATTGCTGTTTCTTCCACAATTACTGTTACTATGACTATGCCTTTTGCTAGTACCAGTACTGGCAATAGTAATGGGAAAAGCAAAAGCAACAAAAAAAAGCGTACATGTACCAGACGGTAGGGTTTAACGTTCATGGTTCATCGTTAATGGTTCGGGATTTAGGGATGAAAGGTTTGAGTTTGAGACCTTGGTATTTAGGGTGGGTTGTTCGAGGTACAGGGTTCGAGGTTTTTGGTTTTGGCGTGTAGGGTCAGATTGGTTCATTAGGATGTAAGCTGTAGAGTGTGAGAGAACGTTTGAGGCCACAAGCAGTCCAAATGCAGAAGTCACAAGCAACAGCAAGAAATGGGCACAAGCACCGATGTCTTTCAGAAACAGATGCATCTGTTCAAAGGTCGGATCCATCTTACACATGTCGCTTAGAAGAATCGTCAGCAGTCCTTGTATGCAGGTCTTAAGGTAATGACACCGTGTTGTCATGTGCCAGCTGGCGCTGTATCTGAATCTCCTGCCAGAAGGGCAACAGGGGCTGTGCCGAAGGCCATTTAGCAGAAACAATCCTCCTTCATCGTGGCCACCTCTTCTGGATCCTCATCAAGCCTAGCGGCCTCATGTGGCACATATGCAGATGTACGCTTCCCTCCACATGCTAAGTCCTGCTAAACATGCTTGCGCGGAGAATTGTTGCACGCAGTTTTATCATTTTGCGCTTCGTGTCTCCGAAAACTGATGTGGCACCTGCGCTTCGGAAAAAAACAAAGCGACCAGGCAACACGACCCTTGCGGGATCAACACTAGCTGCTCACGACTCACGCAAGCTACACTTGCGGAGGCCTACTTTGATGTACAGTATGTAAGATGTTCTATAAAGCCATTGCATCCAGCAGTGGTACGTCACAAACTTCAGCCATGTGCTCTGCATATTGCCGAAGCTTCTCTGGCCACTTCACACCCTTCACGATAGTCAGCCTGCGCAGAGTGGGAAACAAAACGATGTCATCGTAGGAGTAACCACCTTCGTTGACGGAGGATGCAGAGCTCAGCATTTCGCTGAGCTCCGGCAGTTTCGCGTTGAACCTCAGTTCAAGAAGGTTAAACAGCAAAAGTTTGCATGCCAAGCAGCACACTGCGGCCACTACTGCATTTGGCCGGAGCGCTCTTCCAGCAGGTCCTCACTTGACGCCAGGGCTTCTTCGTAGGTCGTGCCAGAAAGTTGATGGTTCTTGACCCAAGTTGCCCTCGCTGCTTTGGTGGAGAACTCGGGGTACAAGGCCATGGCATCTCTAGGTCGTGTGATCTTGCGCAAGAGATCCTTGTTGTCACTAAGCCACTTGCTGATATCTTCACGGCCGGAGGCTTTTGCAAGAATCGGCGAGTCATCCAGAGCGTCGACCTTTGCAACGATGTCCAGGGACTCGCCCATGGCTTCACCATCCATCTCCATAATTGGCAGCACCTTCTTTCCAATCATTTTGGTAGGTGTCACAACATCATCATTCATCAAAAAGTCGAGCTTGAAAGGTGTCTTCTTCAAACCAAATATCATCCGGGCACGGACACAGAACGGGCAGTGGTCGTAGACATAAAGAGTAGGCACTGATTGCTCAAGCTCTTCAGCAGTCGCAGACCGGCCCCACTCGCCGGTTGCTCGCATGGCCACGGCTGGCACCCAAGTTGATGAATGCCTGTCCCTCGCGAGGGGCAGAGCAATCAAGAGGAAGCCTGCCAGGCACGTGCGTGAGGCACGCGAAGCACGCGAGACAAGCCTAGCCATGTCTTCTTTGCATGCGGACCTGCAGCCGAAAGCTGCGGAGCACAGGATGGCTTGATGCAAAATTGCCCGGCAGCAAGATTACGACGTTTGCTTTGTGCAGCGCGGCCTTGACAACTACACGCTGATCTCGGTCCATGTTATGGCCCAAGAGAACCAGGTTGCAGGCATCGCCCTAGCAAGGCAAGGGGGAAGTAGATTATGGCAGTGCAACTCCGGCCCATCTGCGTGCCCAACGCCACCGTGCCGGCCATCATGAAGCACACGAAGAGCGCCCTGACACTAAAGTGCAACATACTAGAACAAGCAAGACCCGGATCGATTGCACCAGGTACTGCACCTTCAAGTTGAAGTTGCCGCTCAGCGAAAAAGATGGTGCGCATTCACACCACGGACAGACCTCAAGTGCTGCATGTTCTGCCTTCCAAAGAGCATGTCTGAGAATGATCACTTTAAACTTGAGATCCCAGCCCTTGCGCACAGCGACAGAGCTTTAGTGCAGGATCGGCACACGACCTGCAGAGCAATCCACCACACTTGAAGGCAGCAACCTCAAAGAAACAGGCCGAGCTCCTCCAGCCTCCTCCAATCCCCTTCCAACCCCTTGTCAGACAACCGAGACCGTGTTAGCTACTCCAACAGGCCAGGCCAAACTGCAGTCGATTGCCCCCGGACAGCTGTTGGGAAAGCTGCAGTTGCCGTGAACTCCCGGCAAAAAACAACTCAGCTTAAGTCTCCTGATTCCCGGACAATGGCTGGAAAAAAGAGCAAAAATTGTGTTCTCCCTGAAAGTCTGCACTGGCAACTAGTTGAATAAGCTACAGCTACACGCTGCTAGCAAGCATTCTGAAGCTGCTTGGACTGACATGCACACATGTAGGGGCCATGTCCAGGATGGGCCTCTGCCTTTTGTACAGACCTTTCTGCGTTCACTTCGCGAGAAGAGCCATCCGATGCAGCCTGCATAGTGCGTAGATCCATAGCTGTGTCTCCTTCCCTGTAAGCTTCAGCTTACAGCTCTCAGTCCGGCCTTGAAAGAAGCAGGAGTCCTCTGTGCTGATGGCATTTGTGGCCGGTGTTCGCCCTGCGCTCGCAGCTCTGGTCAACAAGCTCGGCTGAGCTCAATCTGAGACACAGCAACAAGATTTGACTGAGTGGATTTGTTCTCGTGCAGCTGCGCTTTGCAACATTGAAGATCGCAACAGGAGCTGAGGTGCAGGCGGGGGAAGATACTGCCATCGCAACAGCATGCTCAAGCTTTTCCCTCGCGTAGGTGAAGATCCTACACTGGTTTGGATGTCTTCAACTCCCTTCTTGTCTGTGTGAGGAGAAGCATCCCATGCAGCCCAAGCTCGTGTTGACCTTCGCCCTTGATGGATCGAATTTGACCACTCAAGTTATTTCTTGTATCCTGCTGTGTGATTTTTGAGCTGAATTCTTGTGCGGCAATACATGCTGAACAGTTGACTTCAAGCCAGGAGCAGCTCTGAAAATCATGCGATGCCTTGCGAGTTCGCGGTATAGCCTGCAAATTGAGCAGGGAGCGACCAGAAGTATGACATGAGCATTCGGAACCGCAAAAGCCCAGTACTACAGAACAGCCTGGTAAGACAAGCTCGTGGATGACTTGCAAAGCCATTGCGCCACCTGTGTCAAACCATGCTCCCACCGTACCGAGAAGGTGGAGCTAACAGGGCTGCGGGCGCTCCCGAGCCGCGGTGCAGAGGCAGCCTGAGAAGGTGAAGTTGCGAAGTGCTCTGAAGTGCTCTGCATGGCTTCTGAGGTGCTCTAAAGGCACTCCCACGCCTCAGAGCTCTCGCCCAGCCGTGCAGCGACGTTGCGCACAATGCCCAGCGCCTCCTCCTGGCACGCAATAGACATGAGCAGCAGAACAGCAGAAGCCTGGCACCCCAAGGAGAAGGAAAGGATCATCAAAGCAGGACAGCCTGCGGTGCAGCGCGCCTCGCTGGGTTTGTACCGAGCCCACGGGCCACGGCAGAAGAGGTACTCCATCATCAGCGACTCCCGCACACAACTGATAAGCTCCTGCTACGGCAACACGTCACCCCTGCATTTACCCTTGATTTCCGGTATGCAGCTCCTCAGAAGGCGCAATCTCGATCGCAGGCGGCGCCTCAGCAAGCGAAGAAGCCGTGCTACTCCGCACACGAGAAATCCCACCGTTCTTCTCCGCCTCCCCCTGTCCTGGCAAGTTCTTTCGAAAAACATACTCCGAGTAGATTAATGTGCTGTTTCAGGCGTGGTTCCTAAAGCCTTCGGCAAAGCGGCTACCTGTTCCACATATGGGGGATCGTCAAAATTATGGTCCCTTTTTGGGTCCCCTAAATTAGGCCCCGTATTAGGCCCCGTATTATAACAGGGACCCAAAAAGGGACCACAATTTTGACAATCCTCCATATGGACGTAGCACTGGTCAAAACAACTTGGGGAAGGCATTCTGATCTTGCGTTGTTTTCCAGCACAGACTGCTTTTGGAAGGCTTTCCAGAAAGCGTTCCATCACCAATTCTCTTGCAAACATCGTTCTGGAGAGGGCCTCGGGTCCAGATTGCTGAACATGTATTGAAGCAATCCAAGTCTCGAAAACCATTTTAAGGGGATGCGCAAGCACTGGAAGCATATCGTCGACGATTGCTGAATATGCGGCGCGTCCAAAGCCCGGCCCGGTGCTGACGTGCAAAATTTGTGGGGATGAAACTGTTGAAGGCTACAATCTTGCTCTCGACGGCCCTCCTCTGTAAACAGCTCGGGGAGGGAGGGCTTCGGGTTTTGGAGTGGTATAGGCTTTTAGGGTTTTGGGCTTGTCGCTGTTTAGGGTTTGGGCTTGTTTGGGTTTAGGGTGTGGGGAGGGTTTCGGGAGGATTTAGGGTTTGGGGTGCTGGGGTGGTTTAGGCCTTGCTTTTTTTCTGGGTTGAGGACTTGTATTGGCTTGTAGTTGTTTAGTGTTTGAAGTTGCTTGAAATTTTGTAGGGTTGTTGACGTTTGGATTGTCTGCGGTTTAGGGTGTTTTGGTGTTCTGGGCTCATGTATGTATGAAGGGAAGCTGTTCGTGGATCCCCGCGAGTCGATTTGAGCTGCAAAGGAATCCGGCGTGTAATTTCCTATAATCCAGGTCGGGCTCTGGCGTGCGATCCAATTCGCACGCTCCACTATGCTCCGCAATCCTTTTTTTTTTATGCTCCCTGATCCAATTCGTGCCCCAGCGATCCGAAATATCGCGATCGTGTTCGCCTCACCCGCGATCCAAGCCGTGCGATCAAATTTGTGTCAAGTCCAACACATGAAAGATCCACACCACAACTAGATTCCATCCGGACTGAAAGAACGTGATTCTGAAAGCATCCATTTTGTAGATTCCTCG